CATAGAATAGAGGGTGCTAGAGGGTCAAGTTTTTATATATGATAAATAAAAGAAAACAAGTAAATAGAATAGACATAGAATAGAGAGTGCTAGTGTAAGAGGGTCAAGTGTAGATGGAATATTATTTCACAATATTAATATTTTACTGTATTTTTCATCAAATAAATGCAGCCTTGATGAGAATAAGAGACTTCTTTAAAAATGTAATAAAACCATTAAATCTTTTAAAAAAATAATACCAACTTCAAACTTTTGAGCCACTTTTTTTGTAATGCCAAATGAGGACAATAGAAGCAATCAAACCAACAAAAGAGCAACAATATATGAGTGCGGTGACAAGTCCCAGTTAGTCTAATGCAGTAAACATAGCAATGTTTTTTTTTCTTATTAAATAATAATAATAAAAATTAGAAAGAAAAGAAATAGAATATAGAGTGCTCGTGTTAGAGGGTCAAGGATTTTTTTTATTTAGTAAATATAAACATAGAATAGAGGGTGCTAGAGGGTCAAGTTTTTATATATTATAAATAAAAGAAAACAAGTAAATAGAATAGACATAGAATAGAGAGTGCTAGTGTAAGAGGGTCAAGTGTAGATGGAATATTATTTCACAATATTAATATTTTACTGTATTTTTCATCAAATAAATGCAGCCTTGATGAGAATAAGAGACTTCTTTAAAAATGTAATAAAACCATTAAATCTTTTTAAAAAATAATACCAACTTCAAACTTTTGAGCCACTTTTTTTGTAATGTGCATAATTTACATGATAAATTATGGTTTAATATAATTACATTATATATTTAAATCATATAACAGCATTCTGTGATGGAAATGATGGTGGTAGAAATACACACACAATTACAATAATTTAGCACAATTGCAATATGATTATAAATAACCAATAAATAAAAATGTAAGCTGAAGAAACACTCTAAAGTACTTGAAAGTTTTTATTCATTTTATCCATTTTTTAAGAAATTCAAAATTATTATTAAATCTCCTACTGACTTAAATTGATAGAATATTCAGCATTTAAAAATGTAATTGCATACTGAATTCCAATTGGATTCTTTCTTACCTTTATATCATACTGCATTGTGATTGATCTTTTCTTTCTTATATCTCTTTAAATGCAAATTCTTCATATTCTGACATTCTACTCATTTGAGAAGTATGCATATTTGGACGCAGGGCTGGCTTAAGCATTATGTTAAACGTTTCATCACATCATGACCATGATATCATATTTCCTATGATATTATCATAATATTATCATCTTCATTGCTTAATTTGGACATATATTGCCCTCGGTTGATTATAATTTAGTGCAAGTTTGAATGTTTTTTATAGCCTTGATCTTGGATCCGTTTCTCCTTGCCTCCCTCTGTTATCTGTTCATTTAGATTGCTCACATATAAGCCAAAATTCCTGTGATCCGCCCTGAAACTGATAAATTTTTGTGTTTCCTTGACTCTCACACTCTCTATCAATGCAGCGTTGAACAGCAAATACATTAATGCTGCATGATGTTGTTTGATGAGCCATTTACATGAGGTTAACACTGAACTCACAACTAGTCGACTACTTTTGATATGATCAGTTGACTAGTAAAAAAAAGTAGTTGTTCAGACACTAATATGTTCATTTCTGTTTATTGAGATTAATTAGGATGTGACAAGCTGTTCCCAGACCAGCGTCGGTTCAGTCAGGGTTCATTTCCACCCGCAGCAGTGTCAGCATGCCCTGTGTGTCCTCTCTGCCCTGCCTGACTCTGATTGGTGGCCGGAGCCATCAGCCATGTCTGATTGGATGACTCTGATGACTTATTCATGGAGAGGGCGGATGATTGGACAGTGCCAATTTGTCAGAGTTATAGTTTATTAGTAGCGCAGATGTCCTCGTACTGGAGGATTTCCAAAAGACACACATGTACTGGCACACCCCGACACAAACACACACACTTACACGAATAAATGCATGCACACCAACACACTCACACTCATGACTCGATAGAGACTTTTCACTGGGGTGTGTGTGTACATGCATATAATCATGGCGAACAGTATCTGTGTTTGTACAGGATCAAGAGCTTCATATAGCTTGATTAATTTTTGTCAGTGCATTAGTTCAGTGAGAATATGTGTGTGTGTTTGTGAGAATGTGCTTATTTTTAAGGGATAAATGTTACAGGAAATTGTAACGCTCTAAATATACACTACCATTCAAAAGTTTGGGTTGGTAATTTTTTTTTGTTTACCAAGGCATTCATTTAATCAAAAAGACAGTAATACTGTGTAATGTGATTGCAATTTAAAGTAACTGTTTTCAATTTTAATCTATTTTCAAATGTTATTTATTTCTGTGATGGCAAAAACTGAATTTTCAGCATCATTACTTCAGTCTTCAGTGTCACATGATCCTTCAGAAATAATTCTAATATGCTGATTTGATGCTCAAGAAACATTTCTTATTATTATCAATGTTGAAAACAGTTGTGCTGCTTAATCTTTTTGTGGAAACCATTATATATATATATATATATATATAATTATTATTATTTTTTTTTTGATAGAGTTCAGAAGAATTTATATGAAATAGAAATATTTTGTAACACTATAAATGTCTTTACTGTCAGCTTTGATCAATTTAATGCATCCTTACGGAATAAAATGTATTTATTTCAAAGAAACAAATCTTACTGACCTCAAACTTTTGATCAGTAGTGCAGCAACAAATTAAAATACAGTTTAGAGATGGTATATATATCCAATATTTTTTCCATATTCTTTTATTTTATTTTCTTATTCGTTTATTTAATGAAACATATTTAAATAGTTGTGTTTTCCATTGATGCAAAGTCATCACAAAATTGTAATGTTATGCTAATCTCTAAAATCCCACTTGCCTAGGGCATTTCCAAACACATTTGCTATTATTTTATTTTATTTTATTCAGACCACTTTGCAGAGATTTTACAGTGTATAAGGGTTTCAGGGAGTTTTTTCTTCTTCCCATTGTTCCTGTAAGAACACTGCATACCTGTGCTAAGTTGCTGTAACACACAACCTTTTGTGTCTTATTATTTTCGGACTTTCTTAATCTACATATTGGTACTGTTGCTGTTGGCACATGGTCTGTGGCTTATGAAGTAAAATGTAAGTAAATGCCACCGTTGCCCTCAGTGTCCGTAGAGGTACTGCTTGTATGTGTTTTAAGCTGGTGTCTCACCGCAGTAGTTTATCAGCCAGCCAGTTTACGACCCTCTCCTTCCTGCTATCTGGAAAATTCCACTGAGACGCCTCTGTTTGCTCACTCCCAAATTGGCAAGCGGCTTAATTAGACTAATTAGTCAATTAGGTAACTGTAGCATGCACATTCATCGGTTTAAATGACAGAATACTTCAGGGCTGTTTGGCATTGAATAAAGGGCATACTGCAGATAATTATAATGTTAGTTTAACAGCAGTCTGCTGCCACCACTGAGAGGAGTCTGAAGACTTCATTAAGAGCCCACAAATGCACCGCTTGGGTGAACCAGAGGTTGAAGACATAAACATGCATTGCATGATCTGAGTATCAAAACTTAGATACTTTGTCTGGATATGGGTCTTGGTCTTTGGTTTCAGACAATCCGATTCATGGTGGTAATTACTTGACATGACATTGTATCTTTAACACTACAGAAAATTCGCAAGAATTCCAGTGTTAGTCAATCAAACTAAAGTAGCTCAGAGTCTGAAAATAATGCTGCAATAAATTCAACATTCACTTGATTGAAATGGACAGCCTGGTTCCTCAGTCAATTGGTCTGGAGGTTATATTTTGGTTCGGATCTGGACCTGAAGGGATCTAGTTTTGGTCTGGGTTATAGAGGGTCTCGTCTTGACTCCAGCTCTGATGGTTGTTCACTTACAGCACAGGCTATTATAGAATCAGATAAATGTGGTGTCCTGACCTGACCTTTACAGCTCGCTGGTGTTTATACATGCTTAAAAATAAATGTTTTTCAGTGATTCTTTGCAGCATAGTTTGGTTAGGTTTACAATGTGTAGTATTATTGAGTTGGATTTTGATATTAATTTTATAGATTTTTCAGATCAGCATTTTGGTTTCTGGGCTCTTTAAACAACTACAGCCTAATTTTTTTTTTGTAGAACTAAATAATGTTCTCTAATACTGTAGCATCTGATTATAAAACACTTTTTGTTTCTGACTGTAACCTTTAGTTTTAATAGTGAGGCTAAGTGTGATATGTATGTGCCAAGTATAACAACGAGTCCAAAATGGAGTTGGATACTCAATCCTCACTGGTCAGATTTCCATGATCTCTGACTGGTGGCATCAGGTTCCTTCTCTGTCCAGCTGAGTCATCGTGATATAATAGATTACTGCATGGCTGTAGACTTGGATTGTGTTTGCATATTGTGTTATGCTGTTTTGGGTGCTTTTGTCCAACTGTCCATAGAAGGGAGAAGGAATGCTGGGTAACGCATTGTCTTGTTTATTTATTTTGGATAAAAAATGTGAAACTGCATGTAAGTGTATTGTGTACACTCCCACATATTTGCTAGACTACTATAATAGAGCCTTTCAATTATACACACATTTCAATATCACACTCAAAAATGAAAGAAAACCGACATATTTTCAAATTATATGCATAAAACATTCAGATTCAAAAACAAGAAGTGGAATTTTCAAATTTAAAAAAAAAAAAAAAATAGAATTTTGTTTTCAGAGTCACTGAACAGATGGCCTCTGTTGCTTCCCTTAACACACAAGTACATCCTTGAAACCGTAGCACTTTTTGCAAGAATGCCTGAGATCCCATATGGAGAAATTTCTCAAATCAATTAGTGCACATGAAATGTTTCCCACCACGTCACATTAACATGATAAACACCTGCTGAATAATGAACATCTAACAAATCACATGCCTTTGTTCTTGATTTGCGCTGTGTGTGTGTGGTAATTTAGCAGTGTGTGATTCCAGAGGAACTTCAGTGTGTATTTAACTTAAGCGCAGTGTGTGGCAAAACCCTTTAATCTGATAATCCACTTTATTTTGATCCACTTGTTCATTCAGACTCATTTTCAACAGCCTCATACATTCTCTCGCTCTGGCCCTGTCCCAAATTGCACCTTAAACCCTTGCGGTCTTCCTCTGTGTCTAGAGAAAAAGTTTTATTTTATTTTATTTTGTTTTTATTTTTTAATAATACTTCTGTTCAGTAAGGATTCGTTAAATGAATCAAAAGTGAATGTAAAGACAATTAGTATATTAAAATATTTATATCTCAAATATATATATATATATATATAAAAAAAAATTCTGTCCTTTTGAACTTTGAATTAATCAAGGAATCTTTTTTTAAAAAATGTATCGGTTTGCACAAGAATATTAAGCAGCACGTGTAAATTTTAAAATATAAACAAATAGACAACAGTTATTTTAAGTTTTTGCAAAAAATACAGTTTTTGGTTTTTAACTTGTATTTTTAAGAGATTTCTTTCAAAAACATATATAAAAAAAAATCTTACTAACTTTTAAAACCAATGTTTTTAACCAATTCTGAGTCTTTTGGTCTGTTTGTGAGACAAAGCTATTTTATGGCTTAAGAAGACTTGTAATAAACCACACTGGTCATATAAACTATTTTTTTGGTGCTTTTTGTCTTTTTTGGCAATATAATTTAACATCCATTCATGCATACCCTACCAGTGCCATTTGTAGTGCCATTTGTAGTTTTAAAGCTTTGCAATAAAAATCACCTACCGCTTTCCTTGAATGCCTAATTTGCCCTTTTGCGCTTTATGGAACAATGAATGAAAATTCGGGTTGGAATGACATTATGGTGAGTTAAAGTTGACTTTTTACTTTTGGGTGAATAATATAGAATTAGCACCTGCATATCTTAGCTATTTTTATCTTTATTTGAACTCAAGAATTCATCCACTCAATTATTTGATCACTTAGAAGGTCTCTATAGAAATGAATGGAAGTTCTGGATACGTATAATGCTTTTCAAAGCTTCATATAATATAGTTGTTGTAAAACAGTGAATTTTAAAAGAGAAAATTCATAACTGTTGGAAAGACAGTGGTTCTAAAGCTTTAGTAAGTTGATTTGAATTGAAGAACATTTCCTCAGGAGAAAGCTCTCCTTTGAGCAGTCCTGCTCTCTCAAATGTAAATGACTCTGTGATTGACAGCTAAATGAGTGGCCTCGTTAAACAGTTTATTTCTTAGAGCTTGGAGCAATTATTTCAGTGGTTACAGCCTCAGGTTCTGTCAGGAACTTGTATTGATGTTGAAGGAAGTGATTTATTTGGCTGCTGAATGATATTATAGTGTGGGTCACACTGATCGCCCAAAGGGTCTTAATGAAATAATTTACCCCAAAATGAAGTTTTTGTTATTTATTCAACCTCATGTTGTTTCAAACCTACATAATTTTATTTCATCTGTTCACACTGTTTTCATTGCTTTTTTTTTTTAATGTTTTGGTCGATAACCGAAAAAAGTAATAAAGTTACTGTAGGAGTAACAACTAAGAAAGTAAGAGATTTCTTTGCTTTAGGGATTTATAGATAAAGGTAGACCCTCCTCGATTTAAGCAAAATCTCTATCAAATACAAGCAAAACTGAATATTATGTGGCATTTAACATAGTTCTGAATTAGATTTTTTTTCACTTGAATATTGAATATTTGAAATTTAACACAACTGAATTTTTGAATGGCAGAAAACTTTCTTTGCTTTAGGGATTTATAGATAAAGGTAGACCCTCCTCGATTTAAGCAAAATCTCTATCAAATACAAGTGCAAAAATAATATAGAGCTATACTGTGAAATTTTTGGGGCAAATCAGGTAAAAAGTATCTGATTAAAGTTGTGTGTGTGTATATACAGTGGGTACGGAAAGTATTCAGACTCTATAAAACTCTGCTATAAAAAAAAATTCAGTTGTGTTAAATTTCAAATGTTCAATATTCAAGTTTTAAAAAAAATCTAATTCAGAACTATGTTAAATGCCACAAAATATACAGTTTTGATAAATGCCACTTGTCAATAATTCCAATTTATACAATACAAATTCAAATAGTTACATATTATAAGCTCCATAATACTCTGCATACACATTTTTTTTATTCCTTGATTTTTCCAATCTTTTATTCCTTGCCATTTGTCTAATCTATCTATCAATACATATTGAAAAAAGTTGGTGTGGAAACAAATTTAACAAATTAAATTGCTAGTCAATTTCACAACATCCTCGGCTGGATGTTGGTAGTTGGCCCGACTTTAGGTGGCTGGTTCAACTCTGGCTGTAAGGAAGCAAGCTTTCAATACATAAAGATCTTTATGAAGATCTTTAAAACTTTCTTTAAAGAAAGAAAAGGGAGTGCTCTAGCCTGGTGGCTAAAGATTTGGACTAGTAACAAGCTATCACCATTGTGCCCTTGAACCGCACTCTTAACCTCAGGTTGCTCTAGTTCCAGTAACTTAAAATGGTGATGACATTTATGCTCCCTCGCTCTCGTTCCAGGAGATAATGCTGTACGCTTGAGTGGTGTCTGTAAACACACCATCCCTCAGGCCTTCGCTGTATAGTGTGTGTGTTCCTGTTTGTGTGGCCTTGTGGGGCAGTTGTGGCCTAATGGTTAAGAGTAGGACTTGTAACCCAAAGGTTGCAGGTTTGAGTCTCAGGTCCGGCAGGGATTGTAGGTGGGGGGAGTGAATGACCAGCTCTCTCTTCCACCTCTTCCACCAAGGTGAGACCCTTGAGCAAGGCACCGAACCCCCAACTGCTCCCCGGGCACCGCAGCAATATGGCTGCCCACTGCTCCGGGGGCGTGTGTGTTCACTACTGTGTGTGTGCATTTGGATGGGTTAAATGCAGAGCACAAATTCAGAGTATGGGTCACCATACTTGGCCGCACGTCACTTCACACTATTTATTTAGTGAAGAACATGAGGGCTTTTCACACTTGAAATAATGCTGGGTCATTCTAAACCCCTGGAAAACGGAATCCTGGGTGATCTAGCTTCACTCTGTTTCACCTTGATTCTTGTTTCACTCTGCTCATAATTGACCTGGCGTTACAAATGAATCCTGGCTATTCATACGCTAAAGTTTCACGGTACATTTCTAAAACCCAGGTTAACATTCTTATTTGTATATGTACTATGTCAGTGTCATTGACTGGACAACCGCAGCATGCAAAGTGCTTAACGGCTCTTGCAGGAATCCTCATCTTATACTTCTATGCCACCTGTACTATAAGTTTTCCAGAATGGAGTTTACAGACTATAAAGGTAAGAATTAAACTATATTTTCTTCACTCCATTTCACGTTTTCTGTCACCATTTGACATTTTTCCACTTAAATGCTTTTTTTATGAGTTTTATATGAGGCACGCCATTTGCTATGAAGCATCTAGCCGTAACATTCTAACACCACATCGTTTCGCACTGTACACGTTTAACACTACAGTACAGGGTTAAAGCCCCGTTCACACCAAGAACGATAACTATAAAGATAGCGATATTAGCGTCCACACCAGCGAACGATATCGTCTGTTTATTCTAAGCGCACATGCGTCTGCCACTTTAAATTCTTGAGCTCGTTACAGCAGGATGGATTCTGATTGGCTGTCAGCTTTTTATCGTTCATCAGCTGGAGAAAAATCGTTTTGAAAGTGATTCCAATGATATCGTTTCTCTTTGTCTTTATCGTTATAGTTGTGGTGTGGACTCTGCTATTCTTTAATATTGAGAACGATTTTTAGAACTATGTCTTTATTGTTATCTTTATAGTTATCGTTCTTGGTGTGAACGGGGCTTAACACTCCCCCATGCTCCGGAGCAGGGTTTCACCCCGGGTAAAAAGCTAAATTACAAGTGCCTTTGTCTTTTAAAAGTGGGCTTAGAACAATGATAACTAGGGGTTAATCGCGGTGTGAAAAGCCCTATGGTGTTCTCTGGGCTCTGGACAATCACATTGCACTGTGTGCATTGTACTGACCACACACCATCACCATATGCCTTGAGCAAAGGCTGAATTAAATAAAGGCACTGTGTAAATTGAACTAATTATTAGAATAGTATTACCAACTGGGTAACACTGTACAATAAGGTTTCATTTGTTAACATCAGTTAACTACATGAGTTAACATGAACAAACAATAAAAAGATAATTCCTACACATTTATTACTCCATGTTAATTTCAACATTTTTTTCATCAATACATTATTAAAATAAGAAGTTTTATCTGTTAAAGGGGTCATCGGATGCAAAATTCACTTTTACATGGTGTTTGCATATAAATGTGTCTTAGCAGTGTGTGGACTCAAGCACCCTACAATGATAAAAATCCATTCACTCCTTTTTTAATCCCCAATAAACCTAAATAGTCACAATTATCAAGCCTTTTGATTTTCTGAGCAGTATGACATCATACTGCTCAGGCCCCGCCCACGACCGCTGAAGGACTGTCCCATATTAGCATATTTCCACCCTCAGCCAGTTTTCCGCAGTTTTCTCGGTGCATGAGCAACTGTAGCGAAAACAATGTCTCGTATGCAATGCAGGGGTTTTGTAGTTGGATGTAAAAGTGAACATAAGGCCGCTTTCACACTGCAAGCATGAGCAGCGTGTACTTTTTCCAGCGTGCATGTTAACAAATGAGTGCATTCCAAAGACTATAGATATGATATATATATTTCCATGAATACTATGGCAAGTCTGCTGCTGCAGTGACGATGAAGCTGACGCTCAGCTCAAGTTTGCTGTGTGAAACAGGCGTAGAGTCTTCATTTTCTCCTGACATCAGACTGAGGATGCAGTGGATTAGTTTGGTTTTTGATGGTAACGCGCCACCAAATACACAGAAAACAGAAGAGAGAGAGAGCTACAGAGCTGTCTTTGACAAGGTAAAAAGGGTGTTGTTATACTGAAGTATGTTGTTGAACTGAAGTATGTTACAGACATGAAGACCCTAAA